CCTCGAACCATCTCTGCTTAGCCCGTTCTGGAAAGCGGCGACTGCCATACCTTCCGATACGTTTGGTAGGCTCATCCTTACCCTGTTAAACTTTGCCAGGAAGTCCCTGAGTCCTTCTCCTGTGTTTTGCCTGATGGCGAAGATGTCGTTGACCCTGGCCTCCGCTTTCTTCGAGCCTGCATGGGTTATGACGAATTTATCCGCCATTTCCTCGAACGTTGAGATTGCCTTAGCCGGTAGCTGAGAGTACCATGTTAAGGCCCCTCCTGTCAACGTCTCGCCAAACTTCTTCAGCAGTACCGACGGTACCTGTTCTTTCGATAGGTCGTTTCCCTTCACAGCGGTGACGTAGTGGATCAGATGATCCTCGGGATCTGTGGTTCCGTCATATACCCTTAAGTAGGGTGGCATCTTGAAGGTTTTTGGGGTGGAGTGAGGAGCAGCTTCTTCGGTGTATGGTTGTTCAACGAACCTTCCCACGTCACGTTTTGGTAGCAACTTGGGAGCACCGGGGATCTTGTCGACCCTCTCCTGATGTTCCTTCATCTGACCACGGAGCGCCTTGTTTTCATTTTCCATTTCTTCCATCTTCTTTAGGATGGCTGTTAGCGTGCCATCGTTGGTCTGTGTCTCGATGGGTCTGTTATTTACTAGTGTAGCTTCCGGTTCACCCACGGCAGCAGTGGTACCTACCGTTGGTGTACATACGATGTTATTTTGCGGTGACCTCTCAACCAAGCCACTTAGAGTGCTTGTTAGCTATCTTTCCAGTAGCTCTTTGACCGCTGAGGGTGCTTCCGTAGCCGCAGATGTGGAAGCTCCTTTTTCGTGCAAGATCGTCAGGCCTTCGGATGGGGAAGGTGAGATCTCTGCACCTGGTGTGATGCTAGGGGTTGCATTCAGGATGCCACCGTCACTGGCCTCGTTGAGAGGGACCAGGAGATTGGTAGTGACACCCAATATGGCTTTCGATCTTGTGCTATTTTCTGCCATTTTTCTGTTTTTGTGTAGTGTAGAGAGTGGTAGTTGGTTGATCTCTAGGTGGATACTATGATTTTGATTCTCGAAATCCCCACAGACGCCGCCAAATTGTTTGGCTCAAAAGTTAAGGATATACTTTGTAAGCGATAAAACAATCAAAAATAGAAAAGGGGTAAATCGTAATCAAATATAATAAGCCTAAAGATGCAAATATGATAATATTGTTGTAGATCTGATATTGCAAAGTGATAATGTTTACCAATAAGATATTTTCGTTAGAGGTAGAGATATAGAGAGAGAAAGCCAGAAAAATGAGAGAGTTGTATTAGATCAGATCCCCCTTTTACAATGTGGAGGTCTCCTTTATATAATAGGAGACCTTCCTCGAAAGAATCAAAAAGTTACAAAAATAGGTAACGTCTCCCTATCGTGGACGCTGAGTTCTAAACGATGTCGCTTTTGTCCTCACGGCCGAGTCGTACCCGCTACGTTGGTCGGCGTACACTCATTGGGCGTACCCACTGGCGTAGAGATACTAAGGGTCAAATTTGACCCTATACATTTCCCAAAACGAAAAGAGTGTTGCTCTGGCCTCCATTTAGTTGGTAATGTATATGTGGTAACGATATGTTCGGCACCAGAAATTTGAATAAATGAAGGAGATTTTACTTCCTATAGTAAAGATATACACCCTATTTATTATAAACCAAAATTATTTTAAAATATTATTTTCTATAGCTACCTTTTATATTTTATAACAAAATAAGTATTTATGGTATATACTACCATTGAGGCATGAAATACGCTATTTATGTTTTACTCCCTGAGTTTAGGCGTTTTTTACTGATGTATTCATGAATACAGCAGCGCGGATACATGTGAATACATGCGCGTTCAGCTGGACTGCCCTGATTTTAGGCGCTTTTTGTTGCTGTATTCATGAATACATGGCGCGAATACATGTGAATACATGCGCGTACAGTTGGATTGCCCTGATTTTAGGTGCTTTTTACTGCTGTATTCATGAATACAGCAGCGCAAATACATGTGAATACATGCGCTTACAGCTGGACTGCCCTGATTTTAGGCGCTCTTTGCTGCTGTATTCATGAATACATGGCACGAATACATGCGCGTACAACTGGACTACCCTAATTTTTAGGCGTTTTTTGCTGCTGTATTCATGAATGCAACAACAAAAACTGAATAGTAACTATAAGAAGTAATCATGTATATGGTAGCTATAGGAAGTTAATAGCCACTAAACAATAATGATTTTTGAAAATTCTTTTTAAACGAAATACCTCCTATTCAAGGGGATCCAACCTTGACAGATCTTTTCTTTTTTGAATTTATTAATATTATACTACTATTGGGAATTGAACTCTCCACTTTAATTGTGGAAAATAAAGAGCTCACCAAAGGAGTTAGTCCTCATTTCCTACCTTCGAGAGATTACCGCTACTTTTTCCACCTTTTTCTTCCTCTAGAGAGGCAAGTTTGTACTTTCAGGCTAATTTAAAGATTAAATATAACCTTTCCAAGCTATATATTAATAACGGAGCATCAAATGTCTCATTTCTAACAAATCCAGGCTTTAAAAAAACAATAAATCACGTTTAAAATACAAGCCTTTTTCATTGATTGTATAGCAAGGAACTTTTAGAAAGGGCAGTTCAATGCACAAAGCATTCCGCATTCACGAAGGAATAAAAGAAGGACCGCATCCCAAGAGTGTGATGTAGATAGCCTACCTAATGCAAGCGTTAGTAACTGCTTCTATCGCCTGAACCTGTGGAGATAGCTTTACCGTTGCTCCAAGGCTCCCTTGCAAGGAATTTCTAGAGAGTACTCTGAATAACTAAAGGCACAACAGCTTCATACGAACCAAAAAAAAAATTGAGGTTTTCAAAATCACAATGACCTTCTAGGGATGGCAATGGGAAAGAACAAAAGTAGTTCACGGTAGAGCAAGGCAGGTCAAAATACTTTTTCAGAAATTTTTAAATAAGGTAGGGCAATAAGCAGGGCAGAGATAAGTAAGGAGTCCTAGATTCATTAAAAAGGTCAAAAGTTGTAAAATTTGAATACAATCTTGTAAAATTTTCATTAAAAAGTTCAAAAGTTAAAAAATGAAGTCTAAACAGGTCAAGACAGTGGAGGGCTTAAAGCCTGTTTGGATTGGCTTAAAAAGTGATTTTTCAGCAGAAATATCATTGAAGTCAAAAAAGCAATAAGTTGGGGTTGCCCAACTTATTGCTTTTGGCTTGTTTTAAGCAGTTTTAAACTTAATTTAAGCACGTTTTTAACTTTGTCAAATACTTAAAAGCTAATTTGGCAAGCTTAAAAGCCAATCCAAACACCCCCTTAAAAGGGCAAAGTGGGCAGGGGAAAAACTTAAAAAAATGCTAAATACGACAAGGCAGGACAGGTCAAAAGCTTAGCAGGTCACAGCTTGCCCTGCCTACCCTGCCCTGCTGCCATCCCTAGACCTACAACAACTTTGTTACTCTTATAACTAGTCTAATTTGCTTAAATAAAATATACTAAAGTAAATGACCTCCTAAACCGTTAAAATACATAAGTAGAGGTTCACTTATTTACCTCATTAACACCAAACTCCACAGTCCTTACTTCAAGCTTAGCAGTTGATACAGGATTATCGCACTTAATGAATCTCGACAAGCCAAATATTACAGATAAAGGCATTACTGACAAATTATCAGTTACCATGTAGATGACTAGTCCTTTAACATAACCCACATCACTATCCAAAAGCTTATTTGGAGTAGCTTTAGAGATGCTTGTAAGCTCTGTCACAATATAAATAATCGCAATAAGGACAAGCAGATAAAGTATTTGTGATAGTGATAAGAAAAAGAAGAAGGAAAGAAAAACCAAAAGCAGAGAAACTAATCCTCCCTCCTTTCCAGTTTATGCCACCTCTTTCTTTTTTAGACTGTTCAAAATAACCAAACCATTTCAAACAGAGGCATATCTAGGATTTTAAGAGTATGGGTGTACTATACTACCGTTTGGTTTGACTCCATCAAAATTTTGCAATGACAATAAGTTCTTAACAAATTTTCATACCTTAAAAGTGATTAATAATAGCAATGTTATTTGAGGAAAACTCACTTCACAAATCAAAGAAAAATTTGAAGGAAAATATAAAGGAGAGAAATGATAAAGAAATTGGTTAGAGGGTGACCATTGTTCGTAAAAATGTTGAGATAGAAAGAGGGATAAGGAGGACATGTGAATTAAGATTTTTTTTTAGGAATTTTCAAGAATGAACCAAAAAAGAAACGGGAAAAAGGAGAAAAGAATAAACATAAAAGAAAGAAAAGATAAAACAATAAAAAAAATACCACAAAATGGAACCAAGAAAGAAAAGAACGAAAAGGAAGACAAAAAACAGTAACAGAAAAGACAACAAATATAAAGGGAAATAGAAAACAGGGATTCGAACCCTTAACCTGGGCCATCAGAGGTGCACACATCCACCAATGGACCAAAGTGGCATCTTGCACATGGGTTCACCCACATCTGATTAAGTACTATACCAGAAGAATTTATACACACTCTAGGGACGGGAGCATGGGTTCACGTGAACCCGTACCCCTCCATGTAAATCCGCCTCTGCTTTCAAAATTGGAAACTATCTAAATTAGACTTCCTATTCTACCCTTAATGTGAAGTTTTTATAGTCACACAAATAGACATGTTTAATACCACAAGTTTCAAAAGAATAATAGCCACATAAATATTACGACTCTAATGTCACAAGTTTTAAAAGTCCTCATTTTATTTTCTTAAATTCCGTGCCCAGTCAAAGAGATTCACATAAATTGAAACGAAGAGAGTACTACTAATTCGACAAAAAACCTATTATCCAAAACAGTTTACTTCAAACACCGAATGCATAGACAAAAAAATAAATTACCGTGCAATAACTGCAAGGCTTCCGACCAAGATTTTGATCCACTTGCCAAAAGGAGTTCCTCCTTTGTTTGATTTGAGTGCATGTAAGCTTCATTTAGATTTTTAACACTTCTGTATATATTTCCAATACAGCCAACCATAGTTCTTATACTTCTATCAGTAGTAGTTCGGTTGATAATAGTTCCAATTGGAAGTTGAAGTAAGCTGATCAGGAAACAAAAGAAGTCCTTTCCAGCTTCAACAAAGAGGACTCTTTTAGCTTTATTGTCAACTATAAGCTTCACACTGCAGTTTTCTCCTGCCAAAAACTTAACAAATAAGGCTTCTATTTATCCAAATTCTGAATTAGTACTAATTTTAAATTAGAAAATAGGTTCTACTGCATGCATGGGCGGATAAAGTGTGTTACCATGTGTTATCAACAGGTTCAATTGAACCCATATCATTAAAATTGCAAAAATAGAAGATATGAACCCATAACTTTAAAAATATAATAGGTTCAATGCTAAAACCCTTAAAAGTTGAACCCATATTGAATGTTGGTAGTGATTTTAAGCCCGGGCGACTAGGATGAAACTTTTGAATATTGGTCAATCAAATCCAATATTTTCGACATGAAACAGACACCTATGTACAATGCATTCCACGCTAAAAAAATGAACTCAACAACAATAACAACAAACCCAATGTAGTCCTACAAGTGGGCTTTGGGGAGGCTAATGTGTACGCATACCTTAACCTTACCTTATGAAGATAGAGAGGTTATTTTCGATAGCCCTCGGCTCAAGGAACAGTGAAAACAAAGCAACAAATAATAACAACAACAAGATAATACAGTAACGGAAGCGAATGACACAATATGTAGTAATAAAGAACCAAGAATAAGAAAATAATAAGAATAGAACTAATACTACTTGGTAAGCCTAGGGGAAACTCCCGACTACTTATCAACTTTTAACCTTAATTCTCGACCTATACACCTTTCTATCGAGGGTCTTCATACACATTACCCTATGCTAAAAAATGCACTCATCAAATATAAATTCTGAATCTCTAATGGTTAATTGACAATTAGTATAAGTACTGATTTCCTTAAATGAATTTTTTCCCATTCAATTTGTTGACAAACATACCATGCATGCAGAATAACTTTATGGATAACTCTAGCTAATTACGCAAATAATGTCAAACCTATAATACCATTACGAACACCAATTTGCAACCAAATGAAAAGAATCACTAACCATATTTGGATTTTCTCCAACTTGTCTGCCGAAGAAAAATGTCAGTTAGAACTGTTTTTGACTTCATAGAAACCAGCAAGAACTGGTGCTCCTAGATTTGGTTGAAGAAACAAAAAGATAAAACATTAATCATGTCCTACAAATCAAACAATACAGAAAGAGGGGAAATTTTTCCAAAAATAATTTCGTCAAAAGTATTTGAAAGTTTTTTTTCCAATTCCACCCCTACTACTTCAAAAAGGTATATAGTCATTAATTATTCATTTACGCGAGAAATAAGGATAACTTTGTCAAATTCTTTTATGATATATGCTAGCTAGTAAATGATTTTCTTAATGGGTGTGCTAATCAGTTGGTTTGTCATCTTATATTAAATGAAGGCAAGTGATATTCAAAGACACGAAGATTGCCCTACAAAATCACAACAACAACAACAATAACAATAACAATCCCAATGAAAATCCCCCATGTGGAGTCTGGGAAGGATAATGTATGCGCATATCTTACCCCAACTTATGAGATAGAAAGGTTGTTTTCGATAGACCTTAGGCTCAAGAACAGTGACAATGAAGCAATAAACAAATAATATCAACAAGGTAATAAGGCAACAGAAGCAAATGACGCCTTACCAAATCACTGATGTGAAAATCAATAATCCTTTCTTCTACTGCATCAACTTGAGGCTTTAATGCTTTTAGCACAGGGATCGCAGAAGCTGCAGAAGATGGTGTAACAAAGAGATTATCTGTGATCATCCATGTCATAACATCCTGGACATTACCAAGCTCATTAAGCTGCATGTAATTAGCACCCGAGTTTTTCATAATTGGGATTATGTTGCCAAGAGAACCAAACACGGATTTAATACTAGGCTGCCCAACAAAATATCCAATTGGTAATTTGAGTAGGTTAAATAAGAAATCAACGAAGTCTTTTCCAGTTTCAGCAAACAGAACTCTATGAGCTTTGCTATCAACCAACAGCTTCAAGCAAATGTTCGCCTTTTCCATGACTTTCCCCATATATTAACAGCCTAATGATAAAACAAGAATATTCATCAGTACACTTCCAAGAATGTACTAATTGATCAGATACATCATCGATCAAAGAATAAACAAGATATATGGTTTTTTACAATAAACAAGAAGGCCTTAGAATAATTTACGCAAAAAATTAGTTTTTCATGTTAAGGTAAGTTGATCAATTATCACAAGAAATATAATTTGTGAAAATACGTTCCCTTTACCAATGTTGAATGTTAAGCACAAGAAGTCAATCAAATACCTAGTATGCAACTGTGGAAAGAAGAAGAAAATAACAGAGAGTAGAAGCGAGACTGCAGCGATTTGTACTCAGAAATTCTGATGGGGAAAGTCATATGGTTCTTATTGAAGAGCAAATGAAAGGTCTGTACTTAATTATTAAGGAAATGCAACCTTTGGTCTTTCCTATGTGAGCAATTGAAAGGTCTGTACTTAATTAGTAGGGATTGTCTTGCATTTACAAATTCAAAAATAAAATTATTAGTTAATCAAGTTAAGGAACACTAAAATAAAATTAGAAAAGTTTTAGCAAGAAACTTACTGGGAGAACTCAAGGATTGAATTTGTACAAATCAATATTTGCAATGATTTGTGAAGAGAAATCATTATCACCAACTTTGCGGCATAAGGATTGAAGTAAAAGCTCTTTATCAGTCGGGTAAAACTGAAACCCGGGTTGCAAACTTAGTTGTGAAAGAAGGTCCATTTCCTGAACACCCATTATTATTATTATTATTCTAGGCAGCAAAAACTAAGCAAGCAAATGGTTAAAATTGTAGAGAGAGCGTTCAGAAAATTGGGAGGAGGGGGTGTCCGACGGGTTATGGGTAACCCGAACAACAGGGATGGTCTTTTTTTTTTTTTTTGTTGGATTGGCTCTTTTACTCGCACCACAACACGTGTCATGTCCGTTAAGTTTAAACTTTGAAAGACGACACAGATGGGTATAGCACGGGCCCAACATTTACACTTTGAAGTGATTAGTTTTCTGCGATTAGGAATATCATCAGGATATAAAGAATGTGAAAACTGCAATTCAAGAAAATACAATTGAATGCAAGCACTAATTTTTGCATTTTAAACTTTGATATCACAAATGATTAGATCCTATTATCAGCTGAGTACATCGACTCCCTGTCGTATTGATCAAGAATTGGACAACAAGGCGATGTATTCAACAAATTCTCCTCATAATGAAAGGCTTGATAACCTGCTTGTTTGGCATGTCATGTTATCCCCATGATTTATCACCATCTGCCACTGTCGAAGGATATAAAAATGGAAAAAAAAAATTACTTGTCTCTTGTTACTTAATTGCAACGAATGAAAGCGAGAACCAAAAGACATATTATCTTGGAGATACGGGGTTTTTAGAGGAAAGACATCAATATTCTACGAAATAAAAATGTCTATTCGTTTGTTCTGTCCACAGTTTGTAGCAACTTCCTAACAAAGAAAACTGAACACATTATGGTAGTGACAACGGAGAAATAATAATATATTATGATTTTTATAGTTGACGATATTTACTCCAAAATGCAACAAGAAATAGTATGAATTGGCAAATGAGTCTAGACCAACATTTTCAAAGACCAAATAATCATCAGGACAACCAAAATATAGTTTTGACCATAAAGAGGCCTTGGAACACTTTCATAACGTTATTCATCTACTTTCCGTTAACATGCATGTTCATATATAGGCATATGTAACATGAAAGGAGATCTCTCCAAGCAAACAATATTCAAGAATCAATATTGATGGAAATCAGATTTTATGTCGACAACAAGGACGCAATAATTTTACATCACTTTTAGATAGACGTCATATCAACTATGGACTGAGTAATCCATGATCTAACTTTCTCAAATCAGCAAATGCTGGTTCATTAGACTTCTTCTAAGGTAACATTTTAAGTATAGATTTTTGTTAGGAGAGAGTATACAAATGAAGAAGGATCTCACACTAATCCTGGTGATAAATGACAAAGTAGTAAACAAAGGAACTTTACCCCAAGAAACGGAAGAAGTAGATCAAAGTATAAAGAATATAATAGCAAAGAGAGGAACTTTTGCAATTATTTATTATCAGATTAATGAAAAGTAGATTAATGTATACAACATATCTCCGGTTGATCTTGTGAAACCCAAAACAAGAGAAAGCTTAGCTCTTTAAAGCGAAAATCATTTTAAGGCCACAAAATTTCCAAAGCATGTTGGAGGCATATGAAATCTACGGCCCTTAATAAGATTCCTTCAAATGTAGACATCATATCATGTGAGAATGATTTTTCCAAAGAGATAGGAAATGCTCCACATAAGACAGCTTTATTCATAGGCTATACACTTTTTTTTGTAAGTAAAGATATTATTATTAAAACATACTCAGCACCAAGCTGGTGTTGAGACGAAGTAAAATAAAGCTAGACTTGGTTCCTCTAAAGCCGCATGGAAAATAGAAACTCCAACATTAAATTAAGATTGTTACAATTATCAGCATTACACCAAAATTTTAAATTATGGATGCATTTATTCTTCAGCAGCAAAATGTTCTCTTCCTTCCCCTCAAAACACCTTATGTTTCTCTTGAGGCAAACATTTCAAAATATACATAAAGGAGTGGTCCTCCAAGTCTTCTTTTTTAATTTCTCAGCTATACATGCCATGCTTTCATAATATACTCGTAAATACTCCGGTTCATTAGCCTCCTTTTATAGCACTACATTATCACTAATTTTGAAGTATAGTATTTGTATATACTCGTCTTTAAAATATTTTTCAGGAATGCAAAAAAGAAAAAAGATATTTTTTCTTGCAAATTCATTCTCGAAGGTGTAATTGTCAAAAAGAGGTAATCCAAACCAGAATAATAGAAACCAATCACATGATTATTATAACTCTAAACTACCAAATAGGCTAAACTTCCTGTAACAAGCTAATAGCGGGGATGAAATAAAACGAAATGTAATGTAACGACACCATATTCCTTAGAACTGTCTCATTAGAAAGTAAAAAGATATACACTTCTTAGGAAATTATTCCTTCTTTTCACAACAAAAGCTGGCATAATAAAATAAATGATTAGATACTTAGGCATTTGTCAAGTCTAATGTAGCTCGCTTAGTTGAGTAACCTGAATATGTCTGCCTAATCTTAGCATCTATAGGATCTCTATGGGATATTTTCAATATAGAGAAGTCAATCAAAGTCTAAATCCAAGTAAAGTTTTTCTAAACCAACTTTGCTTTTTTCACTGGCATACCTCATCTTCTAAATTCCAGCTACACAAAATGAAGTGCTACAAAAGCACCTTTAATAATACATTGTTGAAGGACATATCACACCTTTTTGCATTAGTTAGTAAACAGGACACTGAGGATCGCGTGATAGGGAAGAAATTCAGTAAGAATAACAAATAAAATGGCAGCCAAACTTAATTTGACCAATCCATGTATAAATAAGAACTGTTTAAAGTTCTTCACCATACACATTGTCTTAAAATATGTGTAATAGTACAGGGTGCTTGATGAAAGACTGTGTGAGATGAAGAAAAAGAAGGTACGACGTTTACCATGATACTTTTACTGAAAATTATCCATTTATCATGAATAATCATTCTCTCCGAGTCAGATCATTAACCTTACCTACCACATTACGTGCAATAAGATAAATCTCCAGATAAAAAACATCATAGTCTAAAGTATTTCCACTAAATAATAAAATAATGACGTACTTTCTTGGTCATCTCAGAAAGTAGATAATCAAACCAAGACTTATAATATCTTAGAGCCTTGAATAACAAAGTCCACATGTAGTTAGGCTACATATTTAAGTCTTAGGTTCACATGTTTCTGTTCAACCCACTATCGATCTGATCTAAATAAATATACAAAAAATATTGTCACCCTCAATTATGCTAGAATAGTTTACATGATAAAGAAAAACAAGCACAATTGCCTCTTATTACTGAGAATGCTTCTGCTTCATGGATATCTTTATATTTGCGAACAGTTTTATCCAGCGCAAGAAAACTTCTAGTGATATCCTGGAAGTTGTCTTTCTATTTTGGATTATTTGTGATTTTGTTTTGGTGGCCTTTTTCCTATTTTTTTTCTTGTTTCTTCCTTAAAAATTCGTTCCTCCCACTTAAGATATTGCAAGCAAAAAAAAAATTCTCAGTTTCTTTTTTGCCCCCAAATACGTAGTAAAGGTGCAAATCAGTAATTAAGTGTTTTCAAAGTAACAAATAATTGAATAGATGAAACTCACAAGCCGTAACTTCTAAAACACCTTAAAAGAAAAGGAATTAGCATGATTTCTATCTCCATTTTAACATTAAACTTTAGAATTTAAGACTTCTTTAGGTCTGAACAAAAAAAATACGGGAAAAAGTGCATTTAAGTTTTTTAACAATACACTTAAAACTTATGGATACATCATGCTTAATATGCATACATTATCCAAGAAAATAATCAGTTGGTGCATGCAACCAAGCATAGTCATTCGCAACATCATTCGTTTATTCAATACTCTGCTGGTCATGTCAAACCAGAAATAGCAATTATGTTTCTCTTTCATCTGGATTTAAAGTTAGACTTTGACAACTTTCAATACTATATGAAAAGTGCACGTGACATCTAAAAGCAGAAGCCTGATAAACATTGCGCTCTTAAAAACTGAATTTTCCCACTACCCGAGCTGCAACAATACTCTTCCTTCACGAAATCAATCCACATAAAATTTTATTATTTATACTTCAAAAAGAGAGAGGAATTTTCACTCTTTTTGATTATGGTAACAATAATAAAAAGGAATGCACTCTTCAAGAGCTGAATTTCCCACAATATTTGAGCTCCCAAATTGTATACCTAAGTGGAGCCACATAGAATTATAAGAAAAAATACTCATAAAATAAAATAAAATAAAATAGGATTGAACTCAGACTGAGAATCTTTTTCGAGAACGACATCTCTCCCAATACTTTGAGCTGCCAGAAAACAATCTTGTTTTACATAAATGATCCACATAAAACAATAACAACAAATAGTCACCAAAAATATAAAATATAATAACCGAAACAATGAAATGAACAAAGAAAAAATAACAACAATATCACCGGCTACACGGGCGAATGTGACGACCCAAAGGGTCATCACCTGTTTTCTTACTCATTACATACTTTCGAGGCCTTGAAAACCTCATTTAGGGTTGCCTCGATTTGCGTGCGCAGTCCGGGCGCGTAGCCGGAAAGCTTAAATATGAATTCTGTGAGAAAAATGCTAATTTTTTATATTAATTTGAATAAATTTGACTTCAGTCAACATTTTAGGTAAACGGATCCGGACCCGTAATTTGACGGTCCCGGAGGGTCCGTAGGAAAATATGGGACTTGGGCGTATGCCCGGAATCGAATTCCGAGGTCCCAAGCCCGAGAAATAAATTTTTGTGTGAAATTATTTTTTGGAAATGATTAAGGAAAATGAAAATGAAATTTGATTAAAAGACTGTGGTATCGGGCCCGTATTTTGGTTCTGACGCCCGGTACAAGTCTTATATATGGTTTAAGCGCTTTCTGTAAAGTTTGGTTGAAATCGGTATGACGTGTTTCGGACTTAAAATAGAAATTTGATGTTTTAAGAAAACTTGGAGGAAATTATGAATTTTGAGGTTTAATTCGATGTATATGATGTTATTTTGGCGATTTGATCGCGCGGATAAGTCCGTAGGATGTTTTTGAGGTTGTGTGT